TTTAGGGTTTTCATTAATATGTATAATTATTTTTTGAAACCAAAATCAAAACAAAGAATTATATGGTATCAATCGAATATCAAACATGATAAAGAATAAAATACAAAAATGTTAAATGCACTAATAATATAAACAATATTAAATCTACTTTTATTCTTTTAAATTAATTTGTTAAAATTAATTTTTAATTTAAAAACAAAGGGCCTGTTTGTCAGTTGCTGAATGGTTTGGTATAGAATGATTAAGTGGTCAGAATGATTAAGAGACTCTTATAATATAGTGCAAAATAAAATGTATTTGTTTACAATGAAATCAAGGCGTTGAATGGTTAAGGGAGACACATGATACAAAATCATTCAGAGGGGTTTAGAACCATTAAGAGACAATTTTTTTTTTGCCAAACAAGATTCACCTCTTAACAATTCAGAGACTGCCTCTTAATGAACTATTAAGAAATAAACAAAGAACCCCAAACTTTTTTGTTTCATGTCATGGACATGCTCCCATCAAACACAAGAGATGTCATTTTGGATCACTATTATGGTGGACCTAAGTCGCATGTCAATTTTGTAGGACAAGTTTTTAATTACGAATCGATTAATGACATATGACATAAACAAAGAGAGAGAATGGGAGATCCTATTATTGTGGACCTAAAGTCGCATGCCCATTTTGCACGCAATTTGACATGGACTTTTCAGATGTAAAAGACAAAGACTTTCATGGTTGTAGAAGTTGCCTTGAATCATATGTCTATCATTTATTTCTTACATTTTTATGACTTTAATTTTGTATACTGCCAGTAAGTATTATTTGTAATACCCTAAAATTTAAAACGAGAAAAATACTTTTCGCACAACTAAAAACTTCCATAAATAAGAAGCGGATTAAACCCAAGAACAATAGTCAAGAGTTAAAACATAAATAACAACCTAATAATCTAATATCAAGTAAACTAGATTACAGTCGGGTGTTACTATGTCTCCAAAAATTCAACTTCTGCTCAAGTGCTCCCCAAAAATATCTACCCTTGATGCTTCTAGTGTTGGTCCTAAGTGCCCAAGACACAACATATAATAATATGACTAATAACACATGAACATGGAGCGAATAGACACCAATTTCATATTTGAATATGATTTAAATATGTTCAACCCAATTAAATACGATCAAAGACCCTCCCGTTACGATTCAAAAGCGAAATGACGGTTGCTCCAAGAGAGGACTCGGTGACGTTCCACCATCTAAGGGCCTGGCCCCTTAGTATCTGTGAAGCAAATTTCACTTTTTGTTACTCGCCACAGTCACTTGAATCAAAGGCTTGCTCAATATCTTGGATCTAATTCATGTATGCGAATGGACCGATAATTCCCGAGAACTAAGGTAGTTTGTTACATAAGAACTTCTTGTACGAGCAAACTTTTTATCCTCGTCTAGTACCAACAACCACTTGCTCCTTGCTGCCGTTAGCATTATTGACACCCCCAGAGCCACCCAAAGCACTCCGCAATAATCTCATGCCTCCGGTTACTGACATCTTTGTCTTCCAATATCTTCGTAAACCTTTCTTCCCGTCTGTCCATGACGGAGTTTATTGCCTGTAGAATTGGCCATCATCACATACTAAGGGTCTAACTCTTGAATGACCACAAATTGACACAAAGGCATCTAATCCATATTTCTCATACATTTCACTTTGTTCAAATCTTTTAACTTTTCACCAATGTGAGACAATTAAAACTCAACCATAATTCATCATGTTGATAATACTCAATTCTCATAGTGCCACCTTAGGGTCCCCCCCCACACACACATATATATATATATATATATATGTATATATATCTATATATATGTATATATATATATG